GTTTTCCTGATTTTTTTATTATAAGTGATAAGATGATTAGTTATGAGGAACGAAGAGAAAATTCACATCATCGTATAAGAAATGCAATTGTTAGTGTGAAGTCCGAAAGTTATTATTAAAATAATCCACAACCATTATCATCACTATCATATCATCATCATCATCATCATCTCAACCAATAACACACGAAAAACCTTCAAAAAAGTAATGACCATCATTGTCATCGTTTTTACTACCACTTCCATCAGTAACATAATACCGTCAACAAAGCAACCGACACTTTACTTTTCCCCATCTTCCACTTTACTATCTATCTTTCAACCTCATTACCCTTCCTCGCAATGTTACAACTATCCATTGACCTTTAATCTTATAACCTCATTTCCTCACAAACTCATCACTCTTACAATGCTTCTCTTTTCCTTCTCCTTTAATCCCTCTTCTACTATATCCAATTTTGCTACCTCTCATTCCCTCTCACTCTCCTTTACTTTTCTTTCCCCTCAATTTCACTATCTTCCTCCACGTTTTACCTAAGTTAAAATTTCGAATTTCATTATCCTACGAAAGATGTGGTACGAGTATTGGCTGTGACATTTGATAATCTCAATAATCGATAAAACTGAGGGGGAGAGAAAGAGAGAGAAAGGGAGACAGTTGTCACTTCAAATTTTACTCCTTTATGATGGAAACTTTATCATATCTTCACTTCTGAGTTACTGCTGTTACATTAACATATGACCTTTATTTGGTTCAAATTCTCGGGAATTTACCAAATCCCCAAATCCTTAAATCACCAATCAATATCATCAACATTGCTATGAATCTATTAAGCATTATGCTAATCAAACTGTTACATAATAAAGCAGAAAAAATCTATTAAATACTAGTAATTTTCAAGATATTTCTTTTATTCTATCGTTTGCATTCAATAAAATCCCTTGAGGAAGAGGATGGAAAAATCCGATTTCCATTCTGAAATCCCTTAAAGAAATCATTTCTCCCCCTCTCCTTCAAACTAATCACTCCTAAATGACGAGACAAAGAGAGAGGAAAAAAAGAAGGAACTGAACATCTGGTCGATCTTTTAGATGAGATCTACCGTCATCACCAACAACAGCTGTTAATCCTACCTGTTAGCACATCAGTGGGAAAGCTTTCCTCTTTACAAGCTATTCGATTATTTTGATGCTTATATTTCACTACCAATACTATCTACTACTCTACTACTACTACCATTACTAGCATTTATTACCCACTGCTAATCCACCTGCAAAAGTCTAAACAAGGTGTGCTGAAAATTTCGATTGATCCAAAATAACTAGAAATCTCAAAAACAGTATTTCACATATCATGAATTAAGGTTGAAAATTAAAATTTACAGTATTACAAAAAAGGACTTAAAAAATTTGGACAAAATATGAACCTATTTAATTCAGGTTAGAATTTTTAGAGCTTTGGCAATTTAGGAATTCAAGTATTCCCATCAGGAACATTGCAAATCTAAAAAAGGAAAGATTTTTTGCTATTTTTTTCCCTTACCAAATTTTTTCTTTTTTAAGCTAATTTTTATTAAAATCCTTGATAGCATCTCGATAGGATGTTTATTGGATCAGCTAAACAAGATACTGTATAAGTAAATATACCCAGATGTTTTAAAGTCAAGTATAGCTTTCCCCCTCTCTCTCTCAAGACTTAATTGATTCAAGAGCAGAAGAATTGAAGGAAAAAAGTTCCCCAAAGTATGGTCCTCCTTTCACTTCGTGAAAATGTTGCTATCTTTTCAAATCATTTAAAGACGAAAACAAAAAAACTAAAAATTTAAAAATAGCAAGTTTTCCTTCTTACGATAAAATTTCTCACTTCTTTTCCTCTCCTCTCTTCTTACTCTACTGTACTAATTCGTAAATTTACTCAAACATATTCTGCTTCTACCAATAAAAGAATTCCAAAAAATGAAAGAGGATAAAAAAGTTTGAAAAAGGAAAAATAAACAAAGTAACAAAGACAAGTAGTTATCTCTGTGTGTGTGTGTGTGTGTGTGTGTGTGTGTGTGTATGTATGTGTGTGTGCATATATAGCAAGAAAAGGAATTCATTTTACTATCCGAAAAACTTTTGCTATTCTGCTTATGCTTCCTTGTGCCAGACAATTTTTTAAAGATGACCAATATTCAGTTGACATATTTCAAAAACTCAGCAACACTCTTTTATTACACAATACTCTTGCTAGAATAATAGCCTTAGTTTTTTAGCCTTAGGCTTTGCTTTCATTAATAACATTTATTTACCAATAACAGTTTACAGTTAAGCAAAAACCTTGACCTTTGCTTTCTTCTAGATTTTTTTTTCGCAAGTAATGTTATGTCTCCTTGTAAAACTTATAATTAAACCTTACATACGCCTTCAGTTTCTCTAGTTCCATTTCATAATTCTTGCTAAAATCTATGAGATATATACATCCAAAGTTATTTTTAATTAATGGTCGTAAGGAAAGTGCATGCAGATCGAAAGGCACATAGAGAGAGAAGATAGCATTCTTTTTTTTTTTTAACATCTTTACAAATATACAATAACTTGCCTTACTTTACAAACATTTCAAATTATTGCGCCATTTATAATTTCCATGTTTCATTTTCGAACATTCACTCACCTTTTTTATGTTGTCATTCATTGTCCCCAATTATTAACGCTACAGCTGTAATCTCTGTGTCGCTGTCCCATTTATTCTCCGCTGATTTAATTAGTTTCTACTCTAATTTGCATCAATGAGTATGTATAGTCCGTGAATTCAATACTTGGACAACAGTGGAAATTTTAATTAATTCCGGAAGTTGGTTTAAAATTTCACTACACTTTTTTTTTCCCTCTGATCCTTTTTTGCGTAAGATTTGTCTTTTTTTTTCATACCTTTCTCTTTTTTTTTTGTTACATTTATGCTAAAGTCCAATTTTTCTTCTTTTTTTCTCTAAACTTTTAGAACGATGCTAATTTAAAAGTAAAAGAGAAAAGAAGGTGATATAAAATATAATAAATATGTACAGGATTATTTTCTCGATAAATTTCAAATTCTATGAAAAACCACATATCTGCGGCATGCATGCAATCAAACAATTTGAATTGAGTTTAAAGAAACTTTACAAGGTTTACATGAATATTAAATTTTGAGTGTTGTGAAGCATCAAGAATCTAATTAAATAGGAGAATCGGTAATGACTTCGTTTATATTTTTTTTTGGTTGCTATATTACATAAAAGATTAGTATGGGAATATGTTTCTACGTGAACTGAAATACGTATTTCAAGGATGAGCACATAACAAGAAAAATAAATAATTAAACAGGAGAAATGGTCGTCCATGGCAACAGCTAAAATGAGTAACCTGCGCACTCTACAAATAATCATCATTACAAACCCAAACCCAAACCGAAGTATCACATCAAATCCTTACCTCATTTTCAATTAGGAAGCTTGATGGCATAAAAAGTAACATTTGAAAGTTTATCAAGCGGTGATAAAGAAATTTATGGCAGCCAATTTTAGGGGAATAAAATGACTGATACTCTGATGTAAATGAAATATTTTTACTGTCAAGTATGATCACAAAAATAAACGTCATGTTGTCGCATTATATTTGGTACAATGACATGAAAAAAAATAAACGAAAGCTTTAGATGATTACCGTAACAACTATTGCGGTAATGAAATAGCTGCCCGAACAGTTGGAGTAGTAGTGATAAAATATCGGAAAACGATTAGCAATAGCTTTCTATTAACACCAAAGGAAAATCTATTCTGGACATACTAAATAACAAACAATAAAAACGGAGTGTATTGTTAACCATATAACTTCTAGTGCATAGAAAATGTTATCTATTTACTGATATCTCTCATTTATGATACAGATACCAAAAATGCAATATGCAAATATAAGCCCCCTATCAAACTGAAATGCTTCGAACACATTAATTCTTCCTTCTTCTCTACATACATACACAGACACACACACACATACATACATACACAGACACATTCACACATACACACATACATGCATATATATCTATACATGTATTCAAAGAGTCAAAGCGCGAAATAATCAGCAAGAAGAGCAAAAGCATTAAAAAATGGATGGCACTGACAGGCTAATATCAGCGACTATTGCTAAAATAATGTCTCTTTAATCAGGCTTTTCTAAGCGTGACAAAATCTAGTTCCAATATTAAATTTGGATGAAGCTATTAGGACTCCATTCAATACTCTCCTCACCCCTTCTCCTGAAAACCAATATCCACAAATTCTTATTGCAAAATTTCAAAACAAAAGGGTTACATATAGCATTATAGCCCATACGGTATTTCTTAGGAAACAGAGATCATTGTAATGCAAAATACAACGGTTATGTACTACTTTTATTCTTCAGTTGAATTGATTTAGATTCTAATTTTATTTCGCAGAAATTTCCTGCTTTACCGTTTAGGATGATACAACAAGGAATAACAAAAACAGATTGTTAACCACTGCCAAACGTGTCCATATTAGTTGCAGTCATTGGACAACTTAAATTAGTTCTATTTCAGTCCTAACTTCTATTTTCCCGAAAAAGGAGGAACTAATTATCAAAAATAAAGGAAGAAACGACAAGTAAAGTTCCCATACCTCTCGGATAATGAAATTAAATATTATTCAAATATTGTCTTGTACCTCCATCAATAAGACACATTTCAGGTGTTTTATATAATTATGAACATCTGAAGCTCCAGTCTTATAAAGTACAAAACTGCAACCACCATTTTTCACCAGAAAATGTCAGCATACTAATGACTATACAAATTGGAAGAGTCTAGTGTTTAAATGCGAATAAAGAATAGAAAATGAAACGCTTTATGGTATATGCTTTCATTTTCTTTTTAGAAAAAAAACCTCCCCTAAATTGATCAGTTTTCATGATAGTGGATAGTAAAATGTAGGATCAAAATTAAGAAATCCCTTAAACACTAACCAAGTGGTGATTTTGATAGCCAGTTCGGATTCTGCTCTGATTCCAATAACCCAGTCAATGAATTGTGTCTATTTATTGCAGCAACAGAGGATGACAATGACGGTATCGTAAGTGATCGAGGGGACTCAACTTCAGTCTTTCGACGTTTCGTTTGCTTACGACGTCGATTTGCAAACCAGCGATTCACCTGAAAGTTAAAGATTTGAAAAAACAAACATGAAAAGTGGAATATAAAGCTAACAGTATTTCGTTATCCAACAACGATATCTACGAAAAGATCTCATTCCAACAGAACCAAATTTCATATGAAGTTCAGAAAAATCCAAACAATGGCGAAGATCAAGTTGTACTGAAACCCAAGAGACATCCTAAATTTAAAAAATAAAAAAACCAATGTAAAAATGAGACATTTTGTCCGATTTGTTGGACAAAGAAATGACGAAGTGATAAAAATCTCGCTTCTACTCTTCAAAAAAGAAAAAAAAATGTTTAGCTTAATCAGTAAGCAAGGAGTTTCAAACAGCTTTAAATAGGACAAATGTTATTGTTGTTTACTGATATGATGCAAGATCTGAATAATCATGTGTTGCAACCCAAACATGCAGTGATTACTTAAATAGTCTACTATAATCAAGTAGTACTTCAAAATGAGAAAACAGTAGTGAGTCTTTTTTACAATACAAAATAAAATAACCGACAACCAATAAGGACTAGGAAAATCACTGAAATTATCAGTGTAAAAAGGACATAAATACGCATCTATCCAGTAAATGCACTTACCATTCTTCCTAATTTCTATATTTCTCTAGACCAAGGTCATTTCTCATTGAGGATTCACATTTTCCATTAAGGAAACATCAACCAACCAATTGGCAATGACCTCAAATATCAGTTGAGGTCACAAATTCGAAAATAGCTCGCTGCCGAAACAAATGCAATGTTAAAAGCTATTTCAATTAATCGAGCGAAGTTTGTATTTAATGTTTCGTTGATCTAACAATTAATTAAATGACCTAATGAACATTTACTTAAATTATTACGATTACCACATTATTTCTCTTCCTAATTCCGCTTTTCTCCATCTACACCATACTCACCAGTAAACACTAGCATTACCTATTTAACTTACCTCAAATACCACACCACCAAGCAAGAAAATCATTAGTTTACATCCATATTTGAATAAACATTTCGAATTCACCTCCATCAATCATACACTAGCTAAACTATTCTCAAAAACGATCCAAACAATTCTAGCAATCAAAAAACAAACAATCTTCTTTTTATTCGAAGTATTATAGTTCAATGGTCACACACGCACATACATATACATACACATACACTTTGTCTCCTCAATATCTCCCTCTCTTTACTCGGTTCTGTAATATTATCATGACGATCATTTTTAGCGATGATAACACCAGATAACAATAGTTTGGGTTTGGGGTATGGTAATAAATACAACAAAACCAAATGATCAAAATATCTTAATAGAAACATTACAACATGTAAAATATCTAGCAAATAAACATTCATTTAGGATATAATGCTAATATCAAACATATTTATAACTCTGTTTATACGTTAGTAATTACATTTCATCTTAATAACTATTTATTACTTGTATTTTTAATCTTCACTTCTATCATATAAAATTATTCCAATAATAGAACTCATTACTCTCTTCCCCTCTCTCTCTCTCTTCCTCTTTCTTATTAGTTCAAAACTTTTTTTTAACATCATCTTCCAAACAAGGAAAAACAAGGAAAAGAAAAAGGAACTGTTGACTACCAATAGAATGAATACAAAAAATTGCCAAATTAAATAGGAAAATACATTCTGTTTTCATTCATAAAATATTCAAACATACTGATTCATTTCTAAAAAATGCCAATAAAATTAAAAGGAAAGTAAAAAGAAAATGAATGAGATGCTCATATCGATTCATATATTGGGTGTTCTACTTTTCGTCTTTTCATTTTAGACCCTTTTTTTTTCCTTCAAAATGATCAGTTTGATATTTTGGCATTTGCTGTATAACAAAAACTGCATGTTTCTTTTATACATATTTATTTATTCATATGCGCTTTATTATCTATATGAATCCTACTACAAAGTATGTCCTAATTGATTTCCTCTTTCAGCTCTACATCCTACCAATATTTGCCCGATGGAGGAACATTTCACAATACACAGTTCGACTATATATACTTTAGTCCTAGTCTAGACTCCTATTCTATTCCAATCCATTTCTTGCCATCGAAACACCTCCCATCCTACTATTATATATTCTGCTATCGAAAATACCAGAATAATTCTTGAAAAGCTAAACAAAAGAAGATAAATAAATATGTCCTATTTTAAGAACCATCTTTATATAGTTCACTTTATTTAGCAACCACATAAAATATTAAATTTTATAATTTAGACACTAAAATGCACAAATAAATTGATGTTTACTGCAACTCAACAAAGAGTTGAAACAGGTGAGAAGAAGGATGATTATGAGAAAAGGAGAGAAAGGCAGCTGAATGGCGCAAAAGATGAGACATTTGCAAATGCAAGCCAACGTTTTTTCGCAAACTGCAAATGTAAATAATAAAACACTTCCTCCCATTGGCAACCTATCGATATCCCAGCACTCCCACGTAGTATATGCATGGGAAATATATGGTAAACATACACTCTACCTTACATCAAAATTCAGCTTTCAGTCTTCTATGATCAATAGGTAGTAGTAATAGTAATAATAGTAGCATAGTAGTAGTAGTAGTAGTAGTAGTAGTAGTAACACTGATATTGGCAGCAATAATAGTAACTATAGTAATAACATTCGCGGTAATACTCATAATAATATTCAAAATAGTATCTGAATTGCTAAAATAACCACTGTTCAGTTCAAATTCTATAAAATAAAATAAAAAGAATTAGAATAAAAATCGATTAATACTCAAATGTGATCAAGCTAGGGAGAAATTGAAATCAAAAAACTAAAACTGCACTTGTGAATTAAGGATTATAACGGAAAACAAGTAGTATTACGGTAGAGAAGAAAAAATTACAAACGTGTAATATGATTGAATGTTATTTTATACAAGTATAGTGTGCTCAGGTTGCAAACGATTGGTACTAAGTTTAAAAGCTATGTTATAAAAGATATTACATTTTATTTTTTATAAATTAAATGATAAAAAAAGAGGAAGCCTGCAAGCTGCAAATTTCACTGATTGCCACATAAGTCATCATGAAAAAAAAAAGAAAATTCATTTAAGATATGAATGAGAAAAGTTCAGAAGGAAGAAAAAAAGCAACAGATTTGCAAGTATCACAGCAAAACACTCAACACAACTTATGATGAATCAATGAAATTATCAATCTAAGAAATCTGTGTATTCAAAGGGGGGGAAAAAAAAATGCCAAATGATCCATCATTCAGGAAAACGAATAACCACCGCCCTTATTCAATGTCTAAAATCACGAGGAACAATAAATAATCAACAATTTAAAAAAAAAAAACAAAAAAGACTGAAAAAAAAACCTGTATATAAGTCATCGACATGTCTTTTGCTAAGCGTTCTTTCTCTTCTCGGCAAGGGTAAAGATTATCGCCATGCATTGCTAACCATGCATCAAGCATTGCTGCCTGAAAATGTTACACATCAATTTTTCCACGAAAAACAAATTCACTTCCTCTCTATTTTGATATCGAGACTAAAGCTCATATGGCTCATTGATAAAGATCAACATATAGATGCGACACACAAAATCACCAAATATTTTCGGAAAATTCTTTCCTTTTTTAATGATAAGCAATAGCAATTAAAAATAATCATATTCCCCATTTTGTCAATGCAAAATATAGGGGAAAAAATTCCTTCATCATGTTTCCACTTATCTGTATAACAACACAAAACGCTGAATGAATAACGAAAAAATAATAAAATGAAGCTATTCAGGTAATTTCCAAAATTGTAACATAACGCAAATGTTACGCAGATTAAAATAGTAATAATTAAATGCAGTTAGATCAGTAAAAACATAAATATATACGACATAATCAAAATTACAATTCCTTTTTTCTAATTAAAATAAGGTGATCTTCTTTACATTAATCATCAATAAATGCCAGTTAAAATAAAACACGGTAAGATGTTGCAGAAAATGGAAAGAAGAATCATAGTGATAAGAACATATGAAGTTGGAATAAATAATGAAAACTGCTACTATGATCAGTAAGTCAAATTATGTTTATCATTATTTATTCCAAATTTAAATGGCACCATAAAAAGGTTGCAAAAAGAAATTTAATAATTCTCATAAATATACTGATGAATATAATTGAAAATACTTAAAATGAATAAAACCTAGATGAAAAAAAAAGAAGTTAAGACGTTTTTCCCTGCAAACACTACAATTTCACTATCACATATTTATTTATCTGCAGCATTTATAAACCTGTCTCACTTACTCCTCCTCATACACATCACTATCATCATCATCATCATCAACATCAACATTAACATCTCATGTTCATCGTATAACATGGAAGATATCAATGGAACAAAGCCATTTTGCATCTTTCCACTAGCAATAACCTCATCCATTCATTCACTCACTCACTCACTCTATGGCTAGGGTATTTCATCACCAAAAAATAAAAAAAATAAATAGAATGAAAACATCAATTTTGACAGCAGAGATGCTTCTCAACCAAATTTCGAAATAATACCACCAATAAACAAACATATGTATACCCATGTGTATACACTAAATAAAGTATTTCATCATCACCAATAGCATACAACACAATAACTCTATTCTTATCATAGAGATGAAATATAATTAAAGATTACGAAATAACACCTATTAAAGCATGAAACTTTGAATATGATCGTAATCGTTTAGGAAGAAACAATAACAAAAACAACACTACTTTGAAGAAATATAATTAGCCTATCTGTTAGCCTTTATGAGTACATAAATGATAAAATTAGGATTTCCTTTTCTTTTTTCTTTTTAATTTGGATAATATAATACTATCGTAACAAGTTTACAAAAAACCACCAACCTGCTGACGTTGCTTGGTTTTTTCAATTGCAGCAACAGACGATGGCGAAGAAGATAAAATAAGTGTAGCTTCAGTAGTCGGTGACGTAGCACCATGTGGAAATACGTAACTTGCAACCATTTAATTCCAAAGTTTACGACAACTATCCCAATTTATATTTTAATAAAGTACAATTGCTGAAAAACGAAAACTGATATAAACACAAAATTTACTAGCCTATTTATTTCAGAAATATAGCGGTTTAGCTAACCAGCATCAAAGAGAGGAATGTTGGTATGTTCGTCTAATTGAAACATGCACACGTTCGTTCATCAATCAATTCGCATATTTCTTTTGTGTTTGAATGAAATCTCTCATTTAATTCCTTATTTACAGATGAGGAGATAAATAAAGAAGCATAGCATGGATAAAACTTTGAAAGGTATTTAAATACTATAGGAAGTTTTGGAAGTTATGAAATATGACAAAATAAATTGCAAAAAGGTCATTTGAATCCTATGTCACTAACCTCGTGAACTTCAAAGCCTACAAATTCCATTCATATTGATATTTCTATTATTAATCCTATTAAAAATTTATTATCTATCAGGTTGATGTTGATCGCAACGGTGAATATTTCCTCACATCTCTCTTTCGTCATCAAAATTAACATTTCTCAGATATACAATGCAGTTAAATGTTTCCAACTTTACGATAAATGTATACTTCATCAAAAATTTGATTGAAATGAAATGAAGGAACGGAAAAGTGGAGAGAAAATTGTGGAAATGGGGAAAAATTGGCACCAAAGAATGGCGGAAATCCATCAAAATTAACCACTTCCTTATTTTCCGTCCTGAAGCCATCTTCTAGCAGACAGCCTCCGATTTAAATGCCACATATCATTACGAAACAAAACCAAGCATAAAATCCAGAAATCTGGAAAGGTTTGTTAGGAGAAGAATTTTATATAACGGTATTAAAAATTTCTGAAAGAAAATTCGACTTTTTCATAATAAATAATGAAAGAATATTATGTCTACCATTCTTCTTATCCATATATAAGAGAAAGATTCAGATTGCACAGAAAACAAAGCAGGAAGAGGAAGAGTTCAAAAAAACTGCTAGAATTTCCATAAAATGAATAAATTATTCCACTCGCTTTCTCTCTCACTCTCTCTCTTTGTCGCTACTCCTACTATTTGTTCAACATTCTCCCGAATGCTATCTCTTTTAAGGATAAAAATGGATTTCAGAAGAAGAAAAGGAAATCATAATGATCCAGAAATTTACTATCATCCTACAAATAGTACAAATGCTACCATGGAGATTAGGAATACATACCGTACCGATGAAATAATGAAGCAAATGCTTTTAGTCTCGGTCACCAAATTGTGTGAACGAGAATTGCGCATGAAGTGGGATGTCAGACGGATGAGAAGAAGAAGAGCGAGAATTTGATTAAATTTCGATAATGATAATTCTTCAAATACATTTTCCAAAAATAGACATAATGCAACCAAAATGACATGACATATAATTATTATGAATTTTCGAAAACTAACTTATTCATAAACTTTATTGCAAGAGTAAAAGCAACAATTTAATTATATAAGAATTATGAACCTATATCTTGAACAGTTTCAGTCTGTAGTGGGATATATTCCTGTAACCTAGATATAAGTTATATATGAGCATCATCCATTTAATGGTAACTTTAACCTAAAGGTTAAAGTACAAACAGTTTAAACGGTTCACTATGTGAATTATTCCCCTGAAATTTATTTCACAGTTCATTTCAGTATACTAGTGTACTATGATTATTGCTATCCTAACAATGAATTAAGAGCATAATACCCTATCCTTTCACACTTCTACAATTTGCATGTAACAACTACCGAAGCCAATTACGCAGTTTAACTCTTTGCATTATTCCATCTATCCAAATTCGCTCACCTTCACCTACAATAACAAAAATATTATAGATATATCATCAGTTTCATAAACATAACATAACCCCCTGCTTAGTTAAAGCTTACTTCAATTTATTCTTCTATTCATAATTGCGCTTAGATAAATCGAGCGAATTCTTCATCGACCTTGAGAATGGCGGGCTCTTCCATCATGCAATGAAATTTTGGACATGTCGTCTATGAGTTATGCGTCATTGAAACGGATGTTTATCTTTCGCACACTAGAAGTCATTAGATTTCGCATATTAAATCAATTTCTTCCTATTCATGTTTTCATTACTAAACACATACACATACATACACACACCCACATACATATACATACACACATGCATGCACATCAGAAACAGTCATAGCCATGATTCACCTCAAAAATTTAGCAAGTAAACAAGATCATTTTGCAAGAACTTACATTGTCATTGTCATCCATTCTTATATGAAATACAACAAATATAGTTGGTCATTAGGAACACAGGAGTTTATCCATTTCCAAATGAAATAATTGATAAAAGTAATTGAAAAAAAGAAAGTAACAAAATTCTAATTAACAAACTGGATTATTTTAGCATAATAAATGCCATTATAATGAATATCTTACTTAGCATAATAAATGAAACAATACTCTAAAATTTCTGGAAATTCTAAAGATGGAAATTTCCCCATAATCATAACGAAATAAAAAAAAAAAAGAAACATCAATACTGCCATAGCTTTCCTCTACTTATACCAATATTCATTTGACACTAACTTTTTGCTAGTTTTGCTTTTCATATTTACATCGTATTCTCATACTAATACTTCTACAACAACAACAACAATCCTCAATACTACTACAACAACTACTACAATATACCAGTATTAATAAACGAATAATGGTTGTTGAAGCAAATAAAATAAAAGAATGGGTTTACAGTATAACACATCACAAAAGCAATTTAGCAAAAAATGTGCGCAATGTGATGAACAGAGGGTGCATCGAAAATCGGGCGGTCGTCAATGCCATGAGATCGTGAGCTGAATGCCTCGTAAACCCCGCACTATCCAATACCTAAACCGGCCATCAATGTCACCTGCCGTTTCAATCGACCTTTCGAATGATACAAGCAACGGTTAACCACTATATGCAATTACTTGGCACCAAAAAAAAAAAGAAAAAATTGCTCCACATAACGATACCTACCTCACAGTGATGAAATAAATGAACAAATTAATTACTAAGTGATTAATGGAGATGATAATTGAGCAAGCAATAAAGTTAATGATGACGATATATACTGAAGTTATGTGTAGAAGGAGATTGAAAGCCACAGCTTCAACTTTACCACATTTGCTCTCATCATTGTCATAGCAATAACCATTATCAAATGACAGATATTTCATAAAAAAGTCTAGGATAGAATGAAAATAACAGCACAAAAGAATTTAAACATTACATTTCTCCTATTTATTGGTTTACGGAAAAACGGAATGAAGTATACGGCAATAAGACAACGAAGAGATGATAATAGAAGATAGGTGCGATCATTGCGCATTATGCGGTGTCGTTTCACACAATCCCCTCTCATTTCTCCTTCCTTTTTTTTCTACGCTTCAAGAATACAAATAAATGCATATTAAACAATAGAGAATTGAGGAATAGGGCAGAAGTGAATGCAAAAATTTACCACTTGAATTGAAGAACAGGGCAGAAGTGAATGCAAAAATTATGCAATTCTTTCTTATTGTTTAAATTTCAATGGATTTTTATGGGAACAACAATAGCTATAACGAAATAAATAGTCAAAATAAACTGGAGTTTTTCGTAAAATTTAAGCCTCTTAGAACCATTGAATCGGCCAACAGATGGGATATCAGAGAGATGAATGAATAAAATACTCAATACAACATTCAATGAGTAACATTGCATCATCAAGCTAAAAATTTGTTTAACAGGTGACACATCAATAATTCAAACGACAGCTGTATCAACTGCACATATGAAATACATTTGCTCTCTGTACCACTCAATTAATGATCCTGATATTGCGACAGTAACTACAATGATATCTTGTTGACCGAATAATCGCTATCAATTTTTATCAGGACGAGGCGGAGGAGGAAGAATGCACTGCAAACGTTTTCACAAAAGCTCGCTTTATGTAATACATATAATTAATCTAAGTCTTAATATATGCATGCGTAAATATTTCTTAATTATTCACAATACCTATCAAGAATGAATCGTCCTAAAAGTTCTAAAAGTTGGATTCCTAATTCTCGAAATAATGGACAGAATTGTCCTAATTTATTAAGCAAACTCTAATAGAGTGATTTAATTAGGTTATTATCACATTACTGTTGGAAATAATACAGATAAAACTAAAAAATAAAGACAATTTACTGTTAACATGTGTTTTCTGTTTTCATTTTACAAAAATGCTGATATATACACAGTTACACCACAAACTAATACATCAGTAAATAAACCGGTTCTAGATGAATGTTTGAGAAAATCAGTATTGTCTGTTTATGAGCATACAAGAACATGAGCACTAGAAGTAATTATCGAACAACTGTACACTTTCAAAAATTATGATACAGCTAAAGAAAGGGAAATATTGTTGCCCTTGTTATGATTTTAATCCATTAAAAATACAAAATAAAAAAAAAAATCACTGAAAATTTATGAATTTTCAGTGCACGTTACAAAAGGTAAAATGAGAAAAAATTGACAAAAGATATAAATGACCGACAGTATTCTTTACCCTTTTATCAATTAAATTTGCAATGCTTAAGACAGACATACCAGATGTTGCTAAGATTGAAAGTCGATAGACGGAACGAACATGTTTCTAATTTTCATTCTTATATCTCTTGCTTTGTTCTATCCCCGCCAATACTACGATTTATTGCATTTTTCAGCAAATTCTTAGGTAAGCCAATTTACGTGAAGCTAAAAGATTTACTAATTGCCAATCGGTCACAAATCAGTTTTCAGTCTTCATCTCTCTTCATATTTAGTTGCAGTGGGCATGCTTACAACTACTTGCGGAAACTTCTTTCAATTCTCTTTCACATAACAACTGCTGAACTTCATAAAAGAAAAAATTATCCTTTTCTACCTTTGATTATTCGTCTATTTTTAATCCGATCAGACTATTCAGCCAACCGACCGATAATTTACTTGAA